CCCGAACGCCGAGCCGCTGCCGCCTCCGAGAGCGACCCGGCCCGGCAGCAGAGCGAGGAGGCATCGCCCCAGGAGCAGCAGAAGGCTCCTCCGGTCGCGGGGGGCTTCAACGGCAACAAAGCCCCAGGGCTGAAGTACGAGGAGATTGACTGTCTGATCAATGACGAGCACACCGTTAAAGGGAGGAGGGAAGGCAACGAGGTCTTCCTGCCGTTCAGCTGGGTAGAGAAATACTTTGAGGTTTATGGGAAAATTGCTCAGTACGATGGTTATGACAGGTTTGAATTCTCTCATAGCTACTCCAAAGTATACACACAGCGAGCACCTTACCACCCCGACGGGGTCTTCATGTCCTTCGAGGGCTACAACGTAGAGGTTCGAGACAGAGTGAAGTGCATAAGTGGTGTTGAAGGTGTGTGTCGAGCATTTTATTTTTTTTTTCTTAATAGTTGAAATCCTGCTTAAAATTTGCCGCCATCATTTGAGATGCAAAGCGATCTTAATTTTGTCATGGTAGTCTCGATAAAAAAAAAAACTTTGAGAAATCGTGCGCAGTCTCCGCTTCGTGCCAAGTTTTCCCAGCTCCCGTCCTGCATCCTGGGAATTGGCCTAGATGACATTTAAAGGTCCCTTCCAAGCGATTCTATGGTTCTGTGATCTCCGGTTTTACTGGTTGCAGCAAACTCCAGAGGTGCCGGGACACTTCTCTTCCAGTGCTGCTGTCAGGCTTTGGCATTGTTGTTGATGCTTGTCATATCTGTCAGGGAGCCACACTGATTTTAAAATCTGAAATTAAATTAAAAAAAGCTTGGCCCTGCTGTCTGAGGAGGCTCCTGCTTCCCCAGCCCCATGCTTTGAGCCACACGGCACTGCTGGCACCTGTGGAACAGCCTGGCTGCTCACGGGCAGCTGAATATACTGCCCAATACTTCTCCCAAGTAGTTAGTGATAGGACGAGAGGAAATGGGCTCAAGCTGCACCAGGGGAGGTTTAGGTTGGATATTGGGAAAAATTTTTTCATGGAAAGGGTGGTCAAGCATTGGAACAGGCTGCCCAGAGAGGTGGTGGAGTCCCCATCCCTGGGGGTGTTCAAAAAACGGGCAGAGGTGGCACTTGGGGACATGGTTTAGTCTGGTCTACCCTTGACTGGTTTAGTGTGGACTTGGTAGTGTAGGTTACTGGTTGGACTGGATGATCTTAAAGGGCTTTTCCAACCTCAACGATTCGATGATTCTATGATATTTGTGGTTTCGTCTTTGGGTTTAACAATACCGTGTCTCCTTGCGTTGCTGGAGATCCAGCAGTCAAACCTTCACCGCTGGGCTGCTCCAGAGCAAGCGGGGAGGGTTTTTGCCCAGCAGCGTGGGATTAACGCTTCCCAAAGCTCGTCCTGCGCACGGTCCGGGTAAATGGGCATCACGGTGCTGCCGCGCCCGGGCGGGCAAGCCATCCTCTTGCCTTCTCCTGCGCAAGGTGCTGCTGCCCGCAGCGAGGAGAGGAGGTTTTGGAGAACTGCTGAAGGGTTAAAAAGCTCTCCCATCATCGAAGCATCCCTGGATAAAATTTATATATCGTAAAACCTTTCCAATTGGCACTTTTGCTAAACCGTGCAATCGGGAATTAGGACTCAAGGTCTTCCCACGTCTCAGCAAAGATTTGATCGTAGAAAATCCTTGTCAGGTTTCATATCAAAAACTAATGACTTCATAAAACTATTATGCAATGTGACACTGTGCCCCCTCATAAATTAAAGACCAACTTTTTCTTAATAAAATACATTAATTTTCATGCATCTCGGTGATCGGTGACGCTCTGCTGTGTTGATATGAGCTCTTCCCATGATATGGTCACTGTAGAAAGCCGGCGTGGCATGCAATTAATTTGTCTATAAAGGATTCTCATTGACATAACCTATACGTTTGTCTGTTTGCGTTCTTTTTTAAGGTTACTCTCACATTTTTATTATTTTTTTTTACCTCTCATCCTCGTTACATCTGCCAAGGAAAGGAAACAGGGCTCTGAAACTCGGGGCTCTCCCAAAGGTGCAAATGCATCCTGGTAACTACACGTCCGCTACGTGTGAGCATTGCCCTGCTCAGGGTTTACGTCTGCTGTGAGGGGCTGAGGAGATGGCTTTTCTTTCTAATTGCCACAGTCGTTGCTGATGAGCTGCAGCTTGGGATATGAATAACAGCCACGGGAGCTGCTTTTCTTGTTGGGCGGTGGGCTTGGACCTAGGCCTTGGAGCTCCCCCGGTTTTTGCGTGAAACGTGGGAGATGCGCGAGATGCCCCTTGCAGCTGGACTCCGCGGCGCGTATGAGGTTTTTCGGCGCAAAAAGCTGAAATTCAGTAAGAACAAATTGAGAGCCGGGACAGATTCGGCAGCTTCTTGCCTTGCCAGGTGTGCGCGCGAGGTGCTGCGCGTAGCTGCTCTCTACTTAAACCTCGAGAGACCAGCGAGTTTAATGCTCGACAACGTGGTTATTTATCTATAAACCTTGCTTTTTTGCGGCATGTGATTTAAGACCTGCCATTGTGAAATGCGGCGCCAGAGCCGGGGTTTTGTAAAGGCAATAAGAGTTATTGGCATCCAACAAACAGGCTGGAGAAGAGAAATAGTTGTAGTTTGTAGAGAAGGGGTTTAATATTAAAATTAAGTTCTCAGGCAGTTTTAGGCTCTTGCCTTGCATCATTCCAGCCCTAGATATTCTCATATTGCTGCACGATGAAAAAACCCCCTCGTGTTACGTTTTCACCTTCTCTCTTTCTGCAAGGTTAATGTGTTGTTATGTCCTATGACCTGGAGAATTTAATCTTGTCATCTTGTATAAATTTCAAGTAAAGCTCTTATAGCAGATTTCTTTTTTTGCATCTTTCAGTCTCGGTGAATGCACCCCTAACTGAGAATGTTTAGCATTAATAAGCGAGCTGGCTTCCAGGAGTTGAAATAATACGTGGTATTTAAATGTTTCCCGGGATGGTTTTCTCTTTAGGCGGCAGTAAGCCATCACATCTCCATCAGTAATATTTATTAGTAACACAAAGCACCGAAATATGTATGAAAATGTATCTTTTTACATTTAGTTTAAGTAATCTTTTCATCGTACCAGATTTCAGAAGAAATTGGTTTCTGAGCTTGACATTGCCAAGGGGGAAAATGGTGCAAATGCCAACATGTTTATTTTCATTTTCTTTTTTTCTTTTCTTACGTGCATGCAAAGGTTTACAGTACTAAATATCCTTGGTTTCCTGCAAGAGGGTCACAATATTCCCACTTTGGATTCGTATTTAGAGGTGGGGAATTTGTTCCAAATAAAATCCAGGACTTTAGGAGAATCCTGGTTTTATTCGTATCTTAAGTATCGTGTGTTTGCTGGCCTGCAGAGGTATGTGTATAAGTCTCCTCCTTAAAAAACCAAAAAGCAGTTTGTTTCCCTTTCCCACGCAGCCGGTGGTGCCATAGGCAGTTTATGGCGCGAGGGTTTTTCCACCCAAAACTGGAGGCTGCAGCTCCTGGGAGCTGGTGAAGGGCAGGCGGAGGAGAGCCTGGAGCTCGGCGGGGTTCTGCGAGTTCACCTCCGCTAACGATCGTAGCGGAGGGTGGAAGTTTTATATCGAGCACGGCTGTGTGACATTGTCTGAGCTCATACGACGGGTTTTGCATGTGAAATCCAATCCGTCGGGCTACGGAAGATGTTCTCTGTGATCTTCCTGCTTTGAATCCTCTACAGAGGTGATGCTCCAGGGGGTTCTTTTGGTCGGTGCAGACTTTTAAATCTAAAAATCACCCTAACCCTAAACGAAATGTGCTCTCCTGCGAGGCTGCCAGCTTTTGGGACGGGGAGGGTTAATCCCAGGGACGGCTGGGCTGGAGCAGTAGCTCTGTGGGTGGAAGAACTGGGGCATGTTCTGCTGGTAGCGCATGGAGAGCTTGGCTGGCTTCCGCAGGCATCGCTTCAGACTGTGCTTGCAATGCTCTTAGGGGAGCCAAGGTAATTGGAGCAGATTTGTAGATGCTGGGTAAATTGCTCTTCTAGCATCGAATCACTCTTACAAAACCTAGTAATAACATATACACTAAATTTGCAAAGATTTATGTGGCGTTAAAGGGATTGTGTTAGATGTAACGTCGTTTGGAGATTTAGCGGTCTCGGGGGTAGGGGGGAAAAATCTGTTAGGGCATTTTAAATGTATTTTAAAATAAGGATGATGCTTCAGTACACAATTAAATGAGAATGTATGGAAGACCACGATAAGGACTTCTCTGCCACTCAAATCTGCTTAGTTTTGACTAGTCATGGATCTCAGCGTAAACGGGAGCAATTCAGTCCTCGAACAGGACTTTTCCTCAGGTCTAACTAACGATGACACCTAGAAACATCATTTGCTAGAAGTAAAGGAGCGATGGGGTAAGGAGGAGGAGCGTGCAGGGCTGCAAACACTGCGGTTTTTGACAACGTGCCGATAAAACGCTCATTTTCTTCTTCTCTCATAGGTGTGCCGTTGTCCACGCAGTGGGGACCTCAAGGTTATTTCTACCCCATCCAGATCGCACAGTACGGGTTAAGTCACTACAGTAAAAACCTGACGGAGAAACCACCTCACATCGAGGTGTACGAAACGGCCGAAGAGAAGGAGAAAACCGGCAGGTCCGGGGAGTGGACGGTGCCGAAAGGCTGTTCTCTGGCCACGGTGTCTGATAAAGCCAAGTTCACTAGCGTCAAACAGTTCCTTGCTCCAGGTGGGTTATCCTACACGCGTGGCAGCTAAGCCACCTCCATTCGTTGCACAGATGGTATCGGGGGAGCTTTAACTTGCCGGGATTAACGTGTTTTCGTGTATCCTGCGTGACTTCCCATCCTTAAGATCTCACCTGAGAATGTCATCTCGTTTCCGTAGCTCTGGAGCTTTTCCTTTTCTTCCGTTGTCTCTCCGTCACTGCTTTTTCAACGCTATTTTAATGAAAAAAATGCGTGGATGTATGCGTGGAGGGCAATGAGAAACTATAGTCACGTTTCCTGAGCTTTTCAGCTTCTGTCTCAAAATAGAAGGGGAAAAAAAAAAAAAAAAGAAAAAGGAACCAGTTGTGAAGCCTGGGAAATAGCGCTGACGTGTGATAAGCAGATGTTGACAGATGATAGATAAGGTCTATTTTCAGCCTGGAGCAAGCGTAGCACGCGCGGCTCTCCGGCTGGACCCGGGATCTCTCTCTTCATTGGGATGCAACTATTTTTGCAAAATTTGAGATCTTAGTTCTGGCTGAGTGCTGCGCAGGCGTTTGCAGAGGACTGGGAGAGGGCGGTGAAGATCTGGGGCTGCATACGGGCGCGCTCCTTCACCTGCAGACGTGCGAGATGCATTTTGTTGCCGTCTCTTCAATTTACCGTGCTCTGTTTCGTACTTAGCAGGGAAATTCATTATTTCATGCAAGAGTTTCCTTTGTGCTAGGACAGGCTCATTAATAAGGACGTAATGTATTTTTCCTCAATCAATACCCATTAGAATTAATGAGTCCATTACTTAAAAAGACAATGAAGTAATTTTCAGTTGGCACCTTAGGCCTGGGTCTCGAGGGAAAAAATTGTCGAACACTCTTGTGTCTTTGTAGTAGACAAATACGGCGAGAGGAAAGGCTAAAAGATCTGTTATGTATTCTCTCCTCGTTCTTTATTGATGGCAGAGTAATCTGTGGGGCTAGAAGGCCACGGTATGCATCCACTCGTCTTAGATGGCCTTAAGTAATGGATTTATAGGCGCTAAGGCAGTGCAAACAACGGGCAGCCTTTAGTTCTCCTTCGCTTCTTAAAACTCTGGGTTTTTTTCCCCTTCTATTATAATTCACTTCGTTATCACACAAGCATTTATTTACAAGGAACCATAAAACTCTCTTGACAGGAATTGCGAGTGGGGTTTTTTAATGAGATTCTTCACAGGAGCAAAATGTTGCGTCGCAAAGCGCTTGGTTTCTTCTTCCAAAGCAGATGCTGATCTCCAAAACTCAAAGGAGTGACGCTTTTAACTTTAAAAGATTGGAAAACCTGGCATTCAGTCGAAATAACAGGTCCCGTGCAATAGCACCTTACAGCGCAAGACGTGGAAACGGTCGGGATGCGAAACGCCGTAGGTGGGTTTGGGAGACGGGGAGAAGCCCCCGCTACGCGGGGAAGGCGGCCCGTGACTCGGTGGTGGCTCGCAGAAATATCGGTAGGGCGTTTCACACGGCGAGTAGGCGCAGCACGGAAAGGGCTGCCTCGCGCGGGAGAATTCTGTTCTGTGGAAAGCCGTTCGTTCAAGATGACTGTCTTTAAGTGTTTATCATCCCTCTGTGCCTTCAACGCTACAGGATTTGCACGCAGCCTTACAAACTAATTAGCCCTTTGATCTTCTAGTATAGGTTTTTTGGGGAGGAGTTGATTTTACGTTTTAGAATCTAGCCTGCGAGAGAACACTGGATTTCATTACCTGGCATTGCCTAGGAGCTTTATTTAATATTTTTTTTTTAAATTAACTGAGTTTTGCCAATGGAGAGGTTAATAAATACTCTAACACGTTAGTCTTTCTATATTATTTTCTATTTTTCCCTCCATTAAACTAATCAGCACGCTGTTTTTTGGAACTGTCAGGTTGGGGCTAGCCTGCGAGAGAACACTGGATTTCATTACCTGGCATTGCCTAGGAGCTTTATTTAATATTTTTTTTTTAAATTAACTGAGTTTTGCCAATGGAGAGGTTAATAAATACTCTAACACGTTAGTCTTTCTATATTATTTTCTATTTTTCCCTCCATTAAACTAATCAGCACGCTGTTTTTTGGAACTGTCAGGTTGGGGAAAAAGCAGGACTGTACCACAAAATACAGTGACAAACACATACTGATATAGTTTATTCCTTTGGCAGCCTTTTTTTTTTTTTTTTTTTTTTTTGCTGAAAACGGAGCTTTATGCAGAAACGCAACTGCTCAAGCAGTGCTGCGTTTTTGGCGTCTTTTCTGCCAAGTGAAATTTTCGGTTCGGGACAAAACGCTGGCTGTTGGTTTATATTTTTGACTTATGGAAGAGGAAAATCACGCAGCGTCTCCGTTCTTGCAGCTTGGCTGCTGTGCCCCATCCTGGAGGAGAAATCCGGCTCTGCCTGCCCTGCATCCCGCCAGCAGGCAGCTGCAGGCAGCAGTCAGACCCCCGGTTGGTGGCCCTTTCCCTTCCCCCCGATGCTGCTGCTGTGCGTTGCACTCCTCCATCGATCAGGTACCAGAAGCCTCTGATAAAGCCATCGATCGAGCCCCTGGCGCTTCTGCGCCGCGGCGTGTCAATGGAGGACGCAAACGAGTTCTCCCCAGTGCCGCGGGAGACGGCCTTCGCTCACGGATTTGCTTTTGTCCTTAATTAAATAATATATGATAGCGCGCGGAAAGAATGATTGCATATTGATGGGCTGCCCTAAAAGCTTTTGGATCCTGCCTGGTAAGAGGGCTTACCTCTGGACGCTGCGCTTCGTAGCTTAAACGTTTTGGAGAAGTGAGTGCTTTACCGCTGAACGAGGCTTTTCCTTTTTGTTTGCTTTGCAGAAAATACCGAGGGAGTATCTCTGCAGCTTGGGAACACCCGAGATTTTATTATTTCTTTCGATCTCAAATTCATAACCAACGGGAGCATTTCCGTGGTTCTCGAGACGACCGAGAAGAACCAGCTCTTCACCGTGCACTACGTCTCCAACACCCAGCTCATCGCTTTTAAGGACCGAGACATCTACTACGGCATCGGTCCCAGGACTAGCTGGAGCACCCTCACCAGGGACCTGGTGACCGACCTGCGGAAAGGCGTCGGCCTCTCCAACACGAAAGCCGTGAAGCAGACCAAAATCATGCCCAAGAGAGTGGTGAGGCTGGTAGCCAAGGGTAGAGGCTTCCTCGATAACGTCACCATCTCGGCCACCGCGCACATGGCGGCTTTTTTTGCTGCCAGCAGCTGGCTGGTGAGGAACCAGGACGAGAGGGGCGGCTGGCCCATCATGGTGACGAGGAAGCTGGGGGAAGGATTTAAGTCCTTGGACCCGGGCTGGTACTCGGCCATGGCACAAGGACAGGCCATCTCGACGCTGGTGCGGGCGTACCTGCTGACGAAGGACCACACGTTCCTCAGCTCGGCTCTGCGGGCGACGGCGCCGTACAAGCTGCCGTCGGAGCAGCGCGGGGTGAAAGCCGTCTTCATGAACCGGCACGACTGGTACGAGGAGTACCCGACCTCGCCCAGCTCCTTCGTGCTCAACGGTTTCATGTACTCCTTAATCGGGCTGTATGACTTAAAAGAAACGGCTGGGGAGAAGCTGGGGAAGGAGGCGCGGGTCCTCTACGAGCGGGGCATGGAGTCCCTGAAGGCCATGCTTCCCCTCTACGACACCGGCTCAGGGACCATCTATGACCTTCGGCACTTCATGCTCGGCACCGCTCCCAACCTGGCGCGATGGGACTATCACACCACCCACATCAACCAGCTCCAGCTCCTCAGCACGATAGACGAGTCCCCCATCTTCAAAGAGTTCGTCAAGAGGTGGAAGAGCTACCTGCGAGGCGGCCGGGCAAAGCACAACTAGAGCTTACGACCAAACCCCTCGGTCCTGCTGCCTCGCAGAGGTACACTCTCAAAGGTTCCATCCGAAATTTTGTACGGACCGTTTCAAAGAAGTGATCCTTAAAACTGATCTCCTGAAATCATTGCATTCCAGTGTGAAAATATTTGGGTCTGATGGGTAGGATTCGGGAACTTCACCTGTCCTTAGTGCTCCACAGCGAAACTGTCTGCACGAAGCAAAACCCCTTTGTGCTCCTGAGTTTGGGGACCTTTTTTTGGGTTGGGTTTTGGTTTTGTTTTTTTTTCCTTTTTGTAGGAAAATATTTACAGAAGCCATACAGGTCTCAAAAATCCAGCACTTGCCTGAAAAGTTAGTCTGTGGCCTCTTTTAAAACGGAGTTATATGTGTATGTGTTGGAACAGCGTAACAGATCATGTGGTGTAACACCGTAAATGTGTATTTACTTGTAGCCTGGGTAGTGGACAGTGTATCTTTTTAAAGGTTTATTTTTTTTTTTTAATACGGATTCTTTTCTTGGGGTCAAAAATACACCCTTTTTTTTTTTTTTTTTTTTTTCCTTCCCAATTTTCTCTATGGAGATCCTTTAGCTGTATGGTTTCTTTACAGACGTGTGGACGGAAAACACGCAGACAGCACGCAGCCTTCGAAGTCACGTCACGTAAGCGCAACTCGGTGGGGCTCGCGGACCTCACAAAGCCTGCCACCGTGCCACCCCCCTTTTGTAAAGCCAAATTTACCATCGCCGGTCAGATTTGCTGGTGTCATCTCCTCCCTGGTAGCTGGAATCTCTTGTCGTGGAGCCTGATGCTTGGTACTGTATGTTTTAATTACATCTGAGAGGTTTCTTTAAGCTTTGGCAACTTCATTCTTCGGGAGACTTGTCTTGAATTCCTGAGTGTGACGTGGAGCTCGTTTTGAGTGGCGCACGGGAAATTCAATTGGAATGAATTAAGATTTTCCTACGGTGATTTTCATTTTTAACCTGCTTGAGTGTATCAAGCATTTTAAAAATTAAAATTACCCCAGAGGGCTTTCCAGCTCCACCTGTGCTTTAATACCAAGTTTCACCTCTGCCTACTGTCTTACTCATCGTGTAAGGGGTCGTTACATCTCCAGCGCTGGCTTCTTGGGTGTGCTTTGTCTTCGTGGCTCTGCCAAGCGTGCAAGGGTATTTGTGCAATAACCGAACCCGTGTCCGAACCCAAACGCTTTCACTGTACTGTTGTAATGCAGAAGAAACGCGGCGGTTTCTTTTCCCTATTTATCAATCCTTTACACCCACCATTAACCTGCCTTCTCGGCGTGTAGAGTCCTGGTTGATGCAGAAGAGTAGAACCAACCGATTGCATCGTTAGGTCAGGGGTGTGTAGTTTGGTAGCGTAGCAAATACCCAGTTTTCGGCTCTGTTGAGGCATGCTGGTGTTTGCTCTAAGAGTCCCAGACTCGAAAGCTCCCAACATACGCCGGCGTGGCAGGAACGTGTATTAGCTTTGGGTTTTTTCCACTGATCCTATTACATGTTGTACGTGTAGGTGGGGGTTAAGCTTAAGATGTTCCTACTGAGGACAAAGTTCATTGAAATCACAAAAAGGCTGGGCACAAGGACAATATGCATCTTGATGATTATTTTTTTTTTTCTTTTCTCTATTTTTTGACGCTTTTTCTATTTCTCGCAGATATTTGCAACAACTTTGTAATTACTTGATCTTTGCAAACGCATGCTACGATCATATCAATATGAGAAGTGGATGTCACAGGAGAGAGTTCAATACCAAAGGTAGCAGAGGTGAATTTTTTTTTTTTACGTACACGTGTATACACACACACACGCGCGCGCGCGCACACACAAAACCCGGAAAAAATGTGCTTCCTTTACGAACGACTGGTCCTTACTGCAAACACAGAAACGTCTTTCTCCTGCGTGTTTCCTCCATCTTTTGCCCATTTTGGATTTGGAGAATCTAGAGACACTCTTTGGGTAATGCTCAAGAGATGGTATCGGTGCCTTATGGAGGCCACAATTTCCTCTTTTGTTTTTTTAATTAACGCCAGTTGAAAAATTGCAGTGTCGCTGATCTTTTCAGGGCTTCGTGAGAGTCGGCCCGGCAGCTGTTGGATAGGTGAGCTCGGAAGCGTAGTTGGCCATGCCAACGCCGTTGGTCCTGTCAGACCACCTTATCCTTAGCATCTCCATCGCGTTTTTGTTGGCCTTAGCACGCATGTAAATTAAACCAACCACCATCAGAGGTTGTAGAACCGAAGAGACTTAGCGTGGGGGTTTCTCCTCTTATTTTTTTTAATTGAGTTATGCAGTGGAAGAGGATTATTGGACATTGGCGCCCATAACTTCATCGAATTCACTCAAGTGGGGTTTTGTTTGTTTTCAGTCTTCAAACTGATAAAGGTCTTAGCTGCTAAGATCTGTTTAATCTTTCCATGAGGCTTCCTGTACGTAGACTTCATTGGAAACATAGTGCGCGTGGGTATATGCAAACCAGTGACACACAAGCACAACTGTACAAGTGTGGCAGTGCTGCTTTTCTCGGCCATTGTGCAAGACATTCACTGAAAGCTGCTATTTTCATTCACCTTGTAATTGTACTTTATTTTTTCTACATTTTTTTTTTTTTTACATGTGGGATATACACCATGTGTTAAATATGCAATAAATTGTTTACAGGATGCTCTTGTAAAGGGTAGTCCTTTGTAAAGCTGTACAGACTTTGCAGTTTAAGCACAATGTGCACATGTTAGTTTTATATACAGCGAGACATGACTTTTTGCAGAGGGAAAGGTTCTACTATGTTTCTATACAAAGTAAATGGATCAACGTTTGTGCTTAATGTAAAGCTGCTTTATAAGACTGTAAAATAAATTTTTTTTATCTTAAGACGAACGTGGGGCGTTTTCGTTCTTCCAGTCGGTATTTCTGCCCTACGTGTGGTTGCAGGTGAGCCCTGACGAGCAATCATAGCAGTTCTGAGATGTCTCCTTTTGGGGAATTTTAGGTTTTTATTCTAAGCGAGTTGGAAAAAGTTCTTTCTTCAACAGTTAGGAGTTTGCTGACTTGGGGCAAGGACCGCAGGTGTATATTCTCTGTCTGCTCAAGTAAAGTTCACGCAGAATGTTGCCAACGTGAGTTATTTCTGCTAAATACCTCTCATTTTGAGTTCTTACAGTTTTTGTTAAGTAACAATTTTAACTAACTGGTCACTAAAAAATACCCTAACGCAGATGACAGTGGTCTGCTGAGGCTGCTTGTAAGGGGCAAGACATGCACCAGTCCCTTAACTCCTGTTTTCAGCTAAAAATGCGCAAGTCCGAGCAAAATTGCCCCCCCAAAACAGGGGCTGAGGTTCACCTTTGCCTCAGCCACTCCATGCCTGGTGTGACACTTCCCCCCTTGATGCAGAAGTGCTGTTAAATCGCAGCTAACTTTCCCTGGTCGATGGAGAGTCGCTGCCTCCTTGGCTGGAAACGTGACCTGCACCCAGGATGCCACGTTGGACTTGGTCGTGAATAATTTTGCGTGACCGAAACGCGCAGAGCAAACCTTCCGCAGCCGGGCAGAGCTTCACGAGTGTCTCCCAACTGCGTGGGTGAAAATATTGATTTTCATGACTTAGCAGTTTGTTAAAAACGTCGGAATTGAAAACAGAAGTGGATTTAAATATGTTGTCTTGGTGATGAATTTGAATGTTTGCTGCTCGGTTTGTGGTGAAAGGAGATACATTTACCATCTGCCTGCAGTGACTGATAACTGCCATGTATGCGTTGCACTTCCTGAATGTCAAATAGCTGCTTCTATACTTGACTAATCTCTTCCCAAAATGGCAGGAGCTATTTAAATGCCAAGCGCTCGGCGTTTCAGCCTATTAAACAAGGTGGAGTGTTGCAACGGTGAAGCGCAAATGTTGAAAGCCATCCTGGCACTCACCGGCTTGAATCTCCAGGACAGTAAATATTTTAAGAGCTCATCTTGTTGAATTTGTATCTCTAAGCAACTCGCCGAGTAGCTCTCGTTGGGTTGAACCGAAGAGCAACGGGACGGAGCGCCTTGTGCCGCGGTAACAACCGCTAACGAGCCAGAGGGGTTCTGCTGCTGCTCTCATGGCTGCTCATGCGTTTCCCATCTCGGAGAAGAAGAAAACACGCGCCCGCCTTGGGCTGGAAGGGCTCAAACCTCGCCGCACCGCTGGCCTCGAGCGGAGCAGCCGTCCCATGAGCGGCACACGCTCCGGAATCGGTGCAGGCGAGGGGAGTCTGTCCGTCTGCACCCCCAGGACAGATAGATCCTACGCATGTCCTTGCCACTGCCACGAAAGGCCGTTCATCCCCGGGGCAGAGGAGCTACTGCTCCCTTCGAGGCGTCACCAAGCCTTTGGAGCGGGGAGTTGGTGGACCCTCGTGCCGCGAGTGCGCCAACAGCACTTCATTGCTGGGCGTACGTGGGTGGCCGCAGGCCACCTGCTGCTGGGGGCTCGCTGTTGCTGTCCCGAAGGAGGCGGCGTAAAAATATTTGACGGCTCATTACAGCAAGGTCGGGCTGCTGCTGCCAAGTGCGGGCTGAAACGGGAGAATTGGCCCGGCCTCCGGCGCTTGAGGGTCTGCTCTTGCCCTTGGCGTGTGCAGATGCTGCTGCCAGGTCGTGCTCTTGGTGGTGGTGAAGGTGGGGTGTCTCTCTGCTGGGTTTTTTTTTTGTTTTTTTCTAGATTATTGGCTGGTGGGAAAATGCTCCGCGTACAGCCTCCCTTCTGCGCCGTCCCGCTGGGGCTCCGTCCCTCATGCCCCATGCCTCCTGGCCCCCCTCTGCCAGCAGAAACGCTGCTCTGAAGAGTTCTCCCTCTCTATAAGCCCAGGCTGATTGCCTCCCTGAGCTCAAGCGATGCCGCCGTCTGACGGCGCTCCCTTCGGAATGGATTCATCCTGCTTTAGTGGCTTTCCGTCACC